AGAGTAGTTATATCATTTTGTATCTATGAGAAGTACTGCATAAGTGATCTGATTAACTCTCGTCCTCATCAACACACACAAAAAAAACAAACTTTTTATTCCCCCCACTGTAGTGAGTTATAAATAATCTCTCAATGTGGTTTTAATTTTTATTTACTTTTATTTTTATTTACTTTTATTAGATTGGGCATCATTTATGGCTGCTCGGATTTTCTTTCTGTGAGGTATCTATTAAATTTTTTCTCTGTTATTTTATTATTTTCTTATAAATTATAAGATTCTTTTTATTTATTTTTGAATATTGATTAATCCTTTGCCTTTTATGTGTATACAAAATATCATCTCTCAGTGTGTAGTACTTCTTTTATTATTTTTTTCATTGATTTTGATGGTCAGAAATCAGAAGTTCTCATTGTCAATGCATTTTTAACTTTACCTCTGCAGTTTGCACATTTGAATTTTGTTTAATAAATCTCATCCTTTTTGGAAGTCATAAAAGTACTATCGTATAGGATATTATAGTTTTGCTTTTGATTGTCTATCTTTAACTGCCCAGTATCAATAAAGCACATTGTAGTTAGGCAGTTGGTAGTAGGGGAAAAAGTCCCTTTGGTATATGAAGTTCCATACTTAGTTTGATTCAGAACTAAAGCCAAAATTTGAAATTAAGTATTTCATAAAGTTTAAGGCATGTAAAATACATTTCCTGTCATGATTCCAGAATGCTTCTTTTAAAATCAGTATTTCAGTCATATTGTATCTATCACCAACAGACGATAGCTTATCTTTGTATTTTTCAGTGTTACCTTCATTTTAAATATTTTCTTTCTGTCATATTAGAGAGATTGCTTAGCCAGAAATCAGATTACTGGAAATAGTAAATGCACAACTGATATGTTAAAGATAATTAAATGAATAACACCTATTCAGGTCAACCAGTCTAATTAAAAGTTTTAACTGTCATTTATTCTGTTTAGTGCACAAATTCCTAGGGAATGATTTTTAAGTAAAGGTAATAGATTAAGTATTATTAATTAACTGGCATCACCCTAGAATTCACCCTGAATGTCTTTTATTAAAATATTATATTTTATGGTCTTACTAAAGGGACTAAGAAATAAAAGTGTTTGGATGTTTGTTACTTCAACAAATGAAAATATCTATTTTAATTTTTTTAAAATAATGTTAGAATAGCTAGCCATGATGGTTCCTACCTATAATTTTAGCATTTTCGGCGGCCAAGGCAAGAGGATCACTTGAGGCTAGGAGTGCCTGAGCCATTGGGGAGACCTCGTCTCTACAAAAATAAAAATAAATAAAATAAAAAATTCAAAAAATTAAAAATTAGCCACCCATGGTGGCATGCATGCCTGTAGTCCCAGCTACTCAGGAGATTGAGGTGGGAGGATTCCCTGAGCACAGGAGATTGCAGTAAGCTATGACCTATGATCGTGCCTGTGCATTCCAGCCTAAGCAACTAAGTCAGACCTTTTCCCTCCTCTCAAAAAAATTGGAATAATGAATATTGAATTGCACAAATTATTAACTCAGTGCAATATAGAAGGTGGATTTATTTTAATTTCTGACTATATTTTGCCTTCAAATAATTATTCATTTAGAACAGAAAATTTTACAATAGATTAATGAAACATAAAATATAGAATTACCCTAAAGGTGAAGAAAGAAAGTCCAAGAACCATAAACACACTATCCAGACATTGGAGCAACAGATTTTATAGAAAATTCCATGAGCAATCTTCATTGACCAATAAATACCACTGAAATATCCACTCCAACAGAGTAAAAATCTCAGTGCCTTTCTTTACCCTAAGGGCAAAAAAAAATAACTGAATGTACCTTATCTATCTTGAACACAGGTAATTAAAAACATACACAAAAATTTTTAAAACATAAATTCAATAATGTATTGCTATTATTGATTGTATTAATCTTTAAGCTTTAAGAAATTGTCCATCATTCCCCAGTACTGCAATGTAATGGAACTGTTTAATAGATTAGCCATGATCTGGACAAATTGTATAACCCAAATGTCTTAACTGCAGAGCGAGCATCTGAAATAAAATCATCTCTATGCATTAGTTCTTTCCCACCACATTTATATATATATATATAAATTTCCTTTATTAGCATGACATGCATACCAACATATTTATAAACACACATTACAGATGTGTGAACAAATGAGATACAAATTTGATGGCAGTAAATAATGATATAAAACACTCATATGAAATGTCTAAGAAGAAAAGACTACTATACTATTAACAAGAATAACAACTTAGACTATGACAATTTTTTCAATATTATAATTTAGTATTTCAAGTTACAGACATTGATTTTGGTGAAAATCCTTTTAAAATGCATTGAATGCTTCAAATGCATTTAAATGTAAAATGAAGTCTTTCTTGATACTATCCTTTTATTATGTAAAGCATTGTATCCTTGTGTTACATTCAAAACAAATATAAATGGAAGTGCTAATTTTTTTTCATGCACTTTACTTGTTCATCTTTCTTTCTCGCTGAGGTATGTGTTTGGGAATCAGTGATATGGACAATGAGAAGACGTTGTGATTTTTGAACAGGAGAATGACATTGACATATCAATGTACTATAGCATTCACCTTGGGTAGAAAATAAATTGGAGTAGATGACATTATAGATCAGTAGGGAGGTCATTGTAAGTTTTACAGTTTTTTACTGCATACATAATCTAGCTGAGTAAAAATGAAGCCAGAGGAAAAAAGAGAAAAGAAGACAGATGGCAAAGGAAGCATCACTGAAAATGAAGAGGTGAGGAGGAGATGGCTTTAGGATATCTCCTATGTGCCTTACCTGAACCACCAGACAGTAGCTCTGCCATTTGTCAAGTTATGAGACAAAAAGAGGATGTTTGGGATAAGTATGAAAAACTATGCATTCAATTTTATGTATATCTGATATACAAGTGTGCATACAGCTGAATACAGAGAATTGAACCTGAGAAAGAGATCTGGGATGGAAACTATCACTTCACAGTTTGAAGGAGACAACAAAGGCAGGGTACATGAACTGACATGAAACATACAAGAGGAGAGACTCTAATTCTTTTATTAACAACTTTCATAGATTAGCTTACTACACTCCCTGACTCCCCATGTGGAAAACCTAGGCCATGAGTATGCAATTCCAAAGCAGTAAGGCATAGGCAAGTCAATTCTGCATTGGAGGCTAGTCAGATTTGGAAATTCAAGCTTGGGAACTCAAGTTCATTTGTATGCTGCTGGGGAGAACTTCCCTAGGATATTTTTTCAGAGAAAACTCTGGACAGCAAAATAGGAGGGCCAAGCACCAGAGAGGAATGAGGGAGCACTAGAGGCAGCAGAGATGCCAGAAGTGTAGGTGGTCAACACAGTGTAGAAAATGACCAGGAAGGGAACCAGGACTTGAGGGTTCATATAATGTATTCAATATGTATTGACCATTCTTGTATCCATTGTAAATATTTTGGGAATTGTTAAAGTTAGTTATTAAATATTTCAATATCCTATTCAAACAAAGCCTATTCACAATGCATATACAAGATACAAGGAATAATGTAAAACAACCCTGTGTAACCAGCACAGAGTTTGGCATTCCCTGTCCAGTTGTTTCTCCCTATTTACCCTCCCTGATTCCACCCACTTCCCTCTTTCCCAGAGGTAACTACTATCCTGAAATTTATGTTTTTAATTTCTTACTTTTCTCTATAATTTTGCCAAATATAAAAATACAAGGTTTATAAAATATTGTTCAGAAAAATTTTTAACTCGGTGAAATATGTCCTCATGTAGCAACTCCACTCGATGAAATTTTACCGCACGCAGAGACTCTACTTGATAAAATATTTCTGGCAACATTAAAGTTCTACAGCCACTAACAACAGTATTTCATCGTCTAAAATGTGCAGTGTCACTTCTAATGGGAAGCATTTATTGGCACTCCTGTAGTCAGCTTCAGGGTCTCATCAGACAAAAATTTTGTTGTGCCAATTGCAGCCTAACTTTTCATCTTCCTAAGAATTGTTTCTTCTGTATTTTCAAAATCATCCAAATCTACTGCTTTCAAGTAGAGTCTGCTCTGGTTCCTAATTGTTAAAGTAATATCTTCCTTTGGAAAAACATTAACTAACCCCAAGAAATTTTCAAGGATTCATCCTTGCAACTAAACAAATCCTCTAATTCATAAACACGTGAACTCTTCACATAGGCTTTTTGACTTTGTCCTGAATGATTAGAATAATATATGGTCAATTGATATTTCAAAGTTTACCTGCTTGATTTTATCTCTTCTGTGCCCATTTACTATAACCCACCATAGACACACACACACACACACATGTGCATACCTAGCAGCCCAGAAAAAGGAAAGAAAGTGAGATTCGCCCTGGCACAGTGGCTCATTCCTGTAATTCCAACACTTTGGGAGCCTCAGGCAGGAGGATCATTTGTACTTAGGAATTCAAGACCTGCCTGGGCAACAGTGCGAGACCGTCTCTACAAAATTCAAACAATTAGCTAGATGTGGTGGTGCACAACTGTAGTCCCAGGTACTTGAGGGGCTGGGGTGGGAGGATCACTTAAACCCAGGAGATAGAAGTTTTAGTGAGCCAAGATCATGCCACGGCACTCCAGCCTGGGCAACAGAGAGAGATTCTGTCTCAGAACAACAACAACAACAAAATAAGCAGACAGAAGAAAAGAAAGAAACAAAGTGAGATTCTTAGATTTGGCTCCCTGAATTATAAATATCTACATTTCAAAATGCCATAACAAAATATCAAAGCAAATAACAAGAGGAGAAAAATATTTGCAACCTAAATGGCAACAGGCACCTGTATAAATTAACAGAAAAGTACATTAATATAAAATTTACAGAAAAATACAAATCACTAATAATTGTAAACAATGTTAAATCTTAAAAACTATATTTTTTATTTTTTATTTCCACAGGTTATTGGAGAACAGGTGGTGTTTGGTTACATAAGTTCTCTAGTAGTGATTTGTGAAACTTTGGTGCACCCATCACCTGAGCAGGATACACTGCACCCGGTTTGTAGTGTTATATACCTCACCTTCTTCCAGCCTTTCCTTGGAGTCCCAAAGTCCATTGTGTCATTCTTATGCATTTGCATCCTCATAGTTTAGCTCCCAATAATTTTAAAATAACAAAAAAGAAGACAAAGATGCTAACCAGGATGGGAAAGAGTAGAGAAAGGAGCATATACATTGGAAAGCTAATTCATACTATGAATGAAAAACTATTAAAATGCATAAGGTTTACTTCCCTAACCCTAACCCTGTACTTTACTTTTAAGTGATGGGTAGAGACATTTAGGTCTCAGGTAGTTCACCCCCATGGTTACATTAGAGACTATTTAAAAAGTTTAAGTGCCAACCACAGATGATTGACCAAATAAAATCTGATGCATCAAATAGCAAAACATTTGTCTAGTCATTAAGATTGTGTTCTGGAAATACAATTTTGAATATTAAAAGATGCTAAAGAGATATGCTAAATAAAGAACTGAAGAAAAATGATGTATCAATATAATTTTATGAGAATATGGTTTTTAAAATGTAGTTTACATAGTTTTTTGTACATATAAAAGTTATATCCTACAAAGTGCTTTCTGGATAGTAGGATGAAAAATATTTATGTAACTGATATTTCTAATTTTTAAAATTTATTAATTTTAAATTGTCATTTTAAAAATTGTGTTTCTCAATGTTCAAAAATGTTAATTCCCAATATATGGATGTTTGAATTCTGAAAAGTTTTATAAATATTGGCCTTCCTAACATATTTAAGATAATTCTACATATAAACAGTATTCATATTTTCATGTGCCTTATGCAATTTACAAAGCACTTCTGTACGATGAAATTATTGCGTCACTATTTTGCATGTTTACAAAGTAAGCTAACCTCCCAACTGAAAGCCAGTACAGCCTTGAAAAATAATAAAACTGTGCTCCTTCTTCCTATTAATCACATACAAAAACTAATGTCCACTTTAAGAAGAACATTTTCTTTAATGATTTATGAAGGGAACTCCCTAATGCCTAAAGAAGGCATGTTACTTAAAGGTACATAAAACTGAAACATGACAACAATTTGGAATCCTTAAAAAATATTTTAAAATCCAATTTTAGTGTCCTTTTAATAACAAACAGTTTGAGCAAACATTTCCTTTTTCTACATAATAAAATTACATTTTAATTTTGCCTTTCATTTTATTTAAGAATGACTCAGTTTTTGATCTAAAAGTTCATTAATTTTTTACTTTAGGCAAACTTTCAAGATACCAATTTAATGATGTAATTTCTGAAAATAAATGAATGCTACTAATGAAATAAAAGGAAATATTTATTAATTTAAATTCTATTAATTTAGATTTTATTTTTAAATCCACAAGAATTGCCAGAAAATGAAATAAAACTGTTTCATTAAGCTCATGAGTTATTTTGCATTGCACCCTCTCAGTATTGCTGTCTCTGCTTCTAGTCTCCTCTCAGTTCAAACAAAGCCCTCTAAGTAGCCTCAAAATGTGTATACTTCAAATGGAAATTAAGAGTCATCTCATCTATAAAGAAGCTTTCCAATAGGCAGAACCAGTCATTATTTCACAGGGTCTCCTGTAACACTTTATACCCATCTTAACAGATGTTCCATAAATTATCATTTCTAGATGCAAACACCATCAGTATTTAAAATAATCAACATACTTAGAAGTTCCAACCCCTTGGCCTTCAGGCAGCTCCCTTCCTCTCCTGACCCATAGTTTCTTCCCTCTATAATCCTTTCTGCTCTCCTCCTATCACCCTTCATTAGTCCAGTTTCCTCCCTCTGAAACGAGCTTTCCCTCTAGCTGCATACCAGAAAACTGCTTACTTTAAGTTGCAGTTTAAACTACACTTTCTAGGTGAAGTCTCCCTTATCTCTTTAGTGAGAAGTAAACTCACCATCTATCTCCTTTGTGTCAATTTGATGTTGTCCTACTGTTGTTTCTTGAAAGCTTGGACAGAGTTTTAACCATTTTTGTATGCCCTAAAATACAGCATTTGAAACATCTTCTGAAAAAGAAACACCTTTCAGATCAAAACTTTTATAGATCCCCAGCTTTTAAAAATATGCTCTAGAATTTTTTGGTTGGGCTTGCATTTGTAATTTTTACTTAAATTATTGTTAATCAGTAAAAAATAATGAGGCTGTTGTGAGAGATATTTGAAATGAGAAAATCTGAGTAATTTTTGCTATCCCATCCATCAGCTGTATATTTTTGCTTATTTCTCAATTTTCTTTGGGTAGTAAAATAGGAAGAAAATTGTGACTCATACAATGAAATTACAAATAGTAATTGATTTTAATACCATCTTTATATTAAGATTTTTCAATTATATTGCCCCAGAGCCATGAAGGGGGAGTAAAATGAACTGTCAAAGTTGAAGTACAGTAGAAATCCTCTTAATCTGACACAGCTGTGGACTGTCATTAGTCAGTTTGTTAAAGGAACAGTTAAGGAGAGAATCACACAAAGCACATAAAGCATAATTTTTAATGTAAAATATATAAATGTCCAAGTAATTACTGTTTTAAGACTATAAATAAGGCCCTTCTGGGGAATTGACTGCTCCTCAGAGTTTCTTATTATCTTTCTCATACAAATTACCTACAATTCATTATTTATGAATTCTAGTATCAGTTTCTCGAAAGCATAGCAGGGACCTAAAGTAACTTTTTAAAAATTATACTCTTAAGTTCTGGGGTACATGTGCAGGTCATACAGGACTGTTACATAGGTATATACATGCCATGGTGGTTTGCTGCCTCCATAACCCTGTTACCTGCATTAGATATTTCTCCTAATGTTATCCCTCTCCAGTCTCCCCACACCCTGCTAACCCTTCCCTAGCCCTCTAACCACCAACAATCCCCAGTGTGTGATGTTCCCCTCCCTGTGTCCATGTGTTCTCATTGTTCAACACCCACTTATGAGTGAGAACCCTAAAGTGACTTTTTAAGTGACTTGTTCATGAAAATCATCTAGATGTTTATGATTCTCTTTCCAATGATTAACATTGTTTTTCCACACCTAATTTAACCATAATGTTAGCCAAAACTTTCCAAAACATTAACTACTTTTCTAAGAAACTTTTTTTTTTTTTTTTTTGGACACAGAGTCTCACTCTATTACCAGGTTGGAGTGCCGTGGTGTGATCTTGGCTTACTGTAACTCCTGCCTCCTGGGTTCAAGTGATTCTTGTGTCCCAGCCTCCCAGATAGTTGGAACTACAGGTGTGTGCTGCCATCCTCAGCTAATTTTTAGTAGAGATGGGGTTTCACTATGTTGGCGAGGCTGGTCTCAAACTCCTGTCCTCAGGTGACGTGCCCACTTTGGGCTCCCAAAGTGCTGGGATTACAGGTGTAGGCCACTGTGCCCAACCTAGAAACATTTCTTTTTGCTCTCACATTTCATCATCTTTTATAACATTTGATTCAATTACATGAACAATTAAATATTAAATTTAATAGTAAATAACAACTAGTATAAACATGTTTGGAAACAAATGTGAATGGCTCTTGATTAGCATACAGCACAACAATAAAAGGCAGAGTGCATGGGTAACAAGCAGTATCCCACTAAGTGTCAGCTTTCATTCATTCAAGTGTGGGCATCAGTCAGAGGATTTCGGAGAAAAAGAGTCATTTCACTGTCCAGTGAGTCACTAAGCACAGATTCAGAGAGTTTCTATTATACTAATTATTTAGCAATATTTGGACTCCATCATAAATAAATTAAAAGTGCAGAGAAAACTAATGCCTATGTAATCTGTTTAGGATATCACCTTACTACTTGCCATTAAAACATTACTTGATATTGTTAAAATGCCTGCAATGACAAGAGCATGCACCAAATAGATGTATCTGAGACTTGACTGATGTTTGATTGAGCTCTACGAAGTGTGCTGAAGTCATCCATTAATTAATTTAATAAATATTTATTGACTACCAAAGCATACAACCAACAGTGCTAGGTTTTAGAAGTAAATGATAAAATGATTCATTCCTTTTTAGAACTTATGTTTTAGAATGGCAGTCTCCAAACTATTTGTTAACATATTGCTAACTAGTAAAAATACTTGAGGATTATCTATATCTAAAACTATATCTGTATCTATCAACATCTATATGTACATCTATATCTATTTAAAACGCGCACACACACACACACACACATATGCCATCAAAGAATTGGAAAACCTAGTCCAAACCTAGTTTCGAACATATTTTTCTGACTCTCTCTCTCTCTCTCTCTCTCTCTCTCTCTCTCTCTCTCTCTCTCTCTCTATCTGTGTGTGTGTGTATATATATATATATATATATATATATGTATATATATATAATTTTTTTTTCTAGATGAACACTTCTGTGTTGCCCAGGTTGGAGTGCAGTGGCGTAATCTTGGCTCACCACAGCCCCCGCCTCCCAGGTTCAAGAGATTCTCCTGCCTCAGTCTCCCAAGTAGCTGGGACTATAGATGTGCACCATCATGCCTGGCTAATTTTTGTATTTTCAGTAGAGATGAGGTTTCACTATATTGGCCAGGCTGGTCTCGAACTCCTGACCTCGTGATCTGCCAGCCTCAGTCTCCCAAAGTGTTGAGATTACAGGCATAAGCCACCGTGCCCGGCATAACTCTATATATTTTAAGCCTGTACTGCCAGATTGGAGAACATCTTCTAAAACTGAATTAATTATTAATCCATTTGGCATTTATACCACTTTAGTAGCACAAGTAAATACTGTTTATCTTTTGGGGGGAGAACTAAAAAGAGAAGAGAGAAAGAGAAGCAACACAGAAGGGACAAAAGGGAGGGTAGAAAGAACAAACAATATCAAGATTTCCTACGTTTTCTGGCATCTAGAGTTGAGAGAAGACAATGGATTCTATTAATAAGAGTCATTGTGCATTTTCTAGGAATGAAAGTGATATATGACCTTGTTTTCTGATGAAATTTTTAAAATGTTTGGATTGCTTTTAAAAGAAAGATACTTAAAATTAAAGTGGGTTATGCAAGAGAATTAATATAGAATTTATAAACATGAAACTGAGAGTAAAGCTTCTACTGGAGTTAATTGTAGTACTCTTGTTCTGCACAGTAGATTCGCTGTAATTAGCTGATTAG